GCTTGTTTCTTAGCGATTAACATGACAAAGGAATAGCAGTACAAAACTACAATAACGATATCATCACCTATGTCGATGCCAGACCCCACATAGCTCATATTGCTCACGGGTATTTCGACCAAACGGATATTGTGACCTCTTCTTATCAGCCGTATTTTCCCAACTGCAGCCGTGCGACCTCAGCTGTTTTAGCGAACTGAACGCCCTACTCGTTGGCAAGCGCTACGACAATTCGTTGATCATCTATACTGACATCAAAAGCATCTTGTCTATACATAATTCAAAAAAAAGGAGCTGCATGGTGTCTAGACGCTGGGATCGTCAACAACGACAAGATCTGCTTGACTTGACATTGAAATATTAGCTTTTTATCTATTCTGCTGTTCATTTTACTCAAACGAAACTTTCCACATGTTTGAATGAGATGACCTAATACTTGATTCAACAAGCCGAACCTTTTAATCTTCTACTAGTTTTTAACATTTTTAGGAGGGTAGCTACACTTACTTTCCTTGTGTTAGATCTCCCATGGGCGGATGTGATGACTCAGAAATACCGTTGAACGCTTCATCTAATTATAATAGGTTGTTACAGACGACAGCGTCTCTCATGAATCATCCCTTGGGACGTAACACCAATTAGGAATCCCTATTCGTATGAGGCAATAATTTGAAAGCGAGAGAACTACTACCTTCTTTGCATTCTCTTCTGGTATGCTGTAATCGTCATCGTCATCACCACCATAACTGGAATCGTCGCGAACGTCGTCTCCCGAAGATGGCCACACCACTGTTGTCAACCACACGAACGCTTCCCATGCCAAACGCACAACAGATAAGCCTCCCGATGAAGTCATCGAGTCAGAGTCACGCCAACACAAACTCGCTAAACCATCAAGACATATTCGAAAGAAGGTCAGAGGACGAAAAAAAACATATGATTGAAATTTCTTCAAAAAAAAAGATTTCGAAAGAGATGGACAACTTTCCAACAAAAAGTAAGACAATCGTTGAATTTCTGAGTGGAATAGGTGTAATGCACGCGTATATAGTCGGCGAGGATCTCTCGTAAATCATAAAATAACAATCATTCGTTACACATGAGGGTAGTCGAAAAACAGCTCACGGCAACGGAACAAGAATTACGTACTCTTTTCGAAAAATTTGAACCTGCTGCCTTTGAAACTGCAAAAACCTAGTACATTTCAAATCTCTGACACGAATCCAACTATAGCTACCGGTACTCGAAAATCGAAGACTGAAAGACGAAAGGCCAATGTCAGACTTTGCGAATCCAGCTGGATACGTCGTTGCACCAGCGAACAGAGCTGTGTACAGGCGGATCGAATCATGTATGTGCCAGCGGATCGAACCATCTACCAGCGACTCGACACTGTTTGAAAATGGTGGGACCTCCTTTGAAAGTTGGGTCCCACTACTACTGAGTCGCCAGCACATCGTTCGATCCGCTGGCACATGGTTCATTCCGCTGGTACACAGTTCGATTCGCAGCGAATCCCTGGATTCGCGAAGTCTGACATCGGCCAAAGGGTGCAAACATGGTGAAAACGAATTTATGAATCGGTGAAAAATTTCAAACAAAGCTTTTAAGTGCTCGTAGCTCTTGCAAATACAAATATCAACTTCTCAGCTAGCTGAAGCAGGTACGACGCTGCTCTTCAAGGGGTTCTCTCAACAATGGATGCATGATCCAGCCACAGAAATGAGCATCAAAAAACTAACGGAAATGTTTCAGCAATTCCCGAAAGAAAGAACCTTGGCTCTTACTGGCCGCGTAAAAGGAGCATTTATCAGCTCTTGTTAGGCAAAATAATTTGAGCTTTCCAAAATTGTCTATGCGAAACACATATTGAACAAAAATGAATAACGATAATTTAAAAAAATTCCGGATAGCATGCATACCTTCACTTTCTTCGTCGTCTTCTCGATCACGCCGTTTCTCTCCAGCCCCGCCAGTGGCCGATCCTGCACTACTTGACTTCGCTAAGGATGTCGTGTTCTGAGTATGCGAAGCGGCGATTGCTGCTGCTGCTTTCGTTCGACCCGACCCACGTTGCCGCCCACCCAGAGGTGCCACCTGCAATAAAAACTTAACTTCAAGAAGACAAAAGAAAATAAAGCTAAAAATGTGTCAATAATAGCCACCACTCATATCAAAATGATACAACATGCATATGCATATACATAAGAGTGAATTGAACACTCAGCGCCTCACACTATCCTGCTCGCGGATGAAGTTCCCCTTCTCCTAGTGTGGAATCAAAATCGCGGAGGATCTAGTGACAAGATCCACTATGAGCATTCCTGGACGGGATCGTGCCCCTTTCCTTGAAGCTATCCTTCCCCTTCACACTAAGAAGAGGGATCAGGAACGTAGCAAGACCTGCGATTAAACAGCCGGTGCTGCTGCGAACTTCAGCAGTGGAGGAGTCGCACTGCTCAAACAGTCGAAAGGAGGTATAAATCCTGGTGGATCCTGCGAACTCGACTTCTGCCCCTCTCCCAAAGGGGAAAGAGGAAAAGAGTATCGTGGGAGAGGGACGCG